CCATCCAGTCCTACACTCTGTATCACACAGTGGCCAGAAATACCAGTGCCATCAGGAGGTCCACCAGTGGGGCCAGGACATTAGAAGCCATCCCACTGTTGACCCCCCCCAAGCACCAAGATGACAGAGCATCACTTGCCCCAGAGTCCCTATCTATACCTTGTGGCTAATAGCCACTGATGGACCTCTGCTCCATATGCTTATCTAATTCCCTTTTGAAGCCGTCCATGCTTGTAGCTGCCACCACTTCCTGTGGCAGTGAATTCCAAGTGTTAATCACTCTTTGGGTGAAGAAGTACTTCCTTTTATCTGTTCTAACCCAACCGCTCAGCAATTTCATGGAGTGCCCACGAGTTCTTGTATTGTGAGAAAGGGAGAAAAGTACCTCTTTCTCTACCTGCTCTTTCCCATGCATAATCTTATAAACCTCAATCATGTCACCCCTCAGTCGTCGTTTCTCCAAGCTAAAGAGCCCTAAGCGCCTTAACCGTTCCTCATAGGGAAAGTGTTCCAACCCTTTTATCATTCGAGTTGCCCTTTTCTGCACTTTTTCCAAAGCTATAATATTTTTTTTAAGGTGTGGTGACCAGAATTGCACACAGTATTCCAGATGAGGTCGCACCATTGATTTATATAGCGGCATTATGATATTGGCTGATCTGTTTTCAATACCCTTCCTAATAATCCTCAGCATAGCATTGGCCTTCTTTATTGCAGTCACACACTGACTCGACATTTTCAGTGAGTTATCTACTACAACTCCAAGATCTCTCTCTTGATCAGTCTCTGCCAGTTCAGACCCCATCAACGTGTATTTATATTTAGGATTTTTGGCTCCAATGTGCATCACCTTGCACTTGGCCACATTGAACCCCATTTGCCATGTTGACGCCCACTCGCCCATCTTTGACAGATCCCTTTGGGTGCCTCACAATCCTCACTGGAGTGCCTTTGGCTTTGCCTCAAGATGCTAAGTCCTCCAGGTCTTTGCATGCCAGAAAAACTGCCAACTCCTGTTGGATAAGGAACAAGAGCGGTGTGAGAGGAACGAGTGCCTGGGCCATGTAAAACAGTGCTTCAGTCTTCTTCACACTTTACATTACCTTGTTTCCAGATTTAGCTTTTCTCTAAGCATCAACAACCTCAGATATACAGACGATACCACTCTAATAGCAAAAACTGAAGAGGACCTAAAGAGCCTCTTGCTCAGGGTAAAAGAGGAGAGCGCAAAACTGGGCTTGAAGCTCAACATCAAAAAACCTAAGATCATGGCATCCGGCCCCATCACTCCTTGGCAAATAGAAGGGGAAGTCGTGGAAGTAGTGACAGACTTCACATTCCTGGGATCCCAGATCACTGCAGACTGTGACAGTAGTCATGAAATTAAAAGACGCCTGCTCCTTGGGAGGAAAGCGATGGGGAACCTAAACAGCATGATAAAAAGTAGAGACATCACCCTGCCAACAAAAGTCCGCATGGTCAAAGCAATGGTATTCCCAGTAGTCATGTATGGCTGCGAGAGTTGGACTATAAGGAAGGCCGAGCGCCGAAGAATAGATTCTTTTGAACTATGGTGCTGGAGAAGACTCTTGAGAGTCCCTTGGACTGCAAGAAGAACAAATCAGTCAATCCTAAAAGAAATTAAGCCTGACTGTTCCCTGGAAAGCCAGATGCTGGAGCTCAGATACTTTGGCCACCCAATGAGAA